TGTGGGTATGGGGTTCGTGTAGTGGTTGGAGCGCAGGACTGGGAGCCACGGTGCTTTTCCCAGCTCTTCGGCCAGCTCAGTGTATGACACTGGGCAAGTCACTGCCCCATCGCTCGGTGCTTCGGTTTGCCTGTCTTTAATGTGGACATACCTGTTATACAGGGTGCTGGGAATCTTCATTAACTAATGTTCAGTGGCAGTTGCTCAGTAAGTGCCGCAGGGTTATAGTTATTTTATTATATACAGAAGAATGCATATTCCTCCCGTCGGCTACAGCCATCTGCACTTACCCCACTATTTCCCATGGTCTTTCCCATTTTATGTCACCCCTCTCATCCTCCAAAGTACTTGATATATAAATAGCATCTACCTTGCAAACCATTAAGCAGATACTGGAGGTTAATTTCTTTACAGCTTTGCTAGGGTAGCTGGTGGCTAATCCACTTGTAATTATCTACAGGCTAAAAGCCTTTGCTAATGAGTTTACATTCACTAGAGACTTAGGTTGACTTTCAGAAAGAAAGTGATCAGATTAGCTGCTCTCTGCCCTGATGTTATATCCACCTACACTGTCCTGACTGGGAACCAATAGCCATGGTGTGGAGATTGAAACTGTACCAATTCCAGGACTCTCTCTTGTAGGTTATGACAGCAAATGACAGATACATAAACGCCACTGGAGCGGCTTTCACTAGCATCACAGACGACGGGCAGATCCCCTCCGCCCTTGTGGGTGAGATTGTCATGACCATGTTCCTGGTCTTAGCCGTCTGCATGGGAGCCATCAATGAAAAAACCAGCAGCCCTTTGGCACCTTTCTGCATTGGTTTCACTGTCACCGCTGACATCCTAGCTGGGTGAGCCGGCACAGCCTTTTGTGTGTTCTGTGGAGCCGTGTACCTCTGGAGGAATGAAAGCTGCCAGACATTCCTGTCTGATGGCTGCCCAGCTGCCCTGGGGAGATGAGTTGGTGGCTCTGGATTTAGTTTCTATGGCAGACAATAAACAGTGATTAGTGTCTCCTGATGGCAGCCTGAGCAGAAAGTCCAAGGAGTGAATGGTCCGTGGTGGAAATTCCCCTGTTACACGGGAGTAGGTGCAGGGCTGGGGCATGCTGGGAAGCACAGGAGGGGTGGAAGCTTGCCTGGTTGCACGCGTGCTGAATAGGTTCCATGGATATTCAGTGGACTTTAACTGATGCTCTCCCGGTGATGTTCTCTGGCCTGTGCTATCCAGGAGGAGATGATCATAGTGGTCTCTTCTGGCCTTCATGTCTATGAGTCACTCTGGCTGTTTTCACCAGCCTGTAATTCATGTTGGGAGGAATATTGGCCACACATGGACAGAGCCCGATGACGGCGTCAGAAAAGACCAGTCTGCAGGCGTCTAACATGCTGGATGCTTGAAGCCAGATCAAGTTTTTCAATAAGCTGTTGTGGGCGGATACAGAAGAAAGTGCCCCCCGGGCAATGCTTGTAATAGGAAGCCCTAAGGACACAGAAGCCGGTTCATTTTGAGTCATTTTTTACTGTATGTTCTGGCTGTTTTTATGAGAAACTGCCCAGCTTGGCCTCAGCGCGCACCAATTTTTCAAACAAGCAGGCTGTTTGCTTTCTTGTGTGACGGGAATCAGATACCAAGAGCCCGTAATTATGAATGCTACTAGGTTATTTATTTAAGGGAGAGCCCCCTCTAGTGGGATTTGAAGCTCTTACTTAAACACTGCACAGACGTCAGGTGCAAATGTTTATCCGTTGCTGGAAGATATGTATCAGTGCCCCTTCCACAGCACATTGTGACCTACACACAGTAAAGAGCGTAAAACCCAAGCTGCTAACAAACCCAACGTTTAAATTTAAAACGGACACTTTCATTTCCATCACATGAAGCTTTTTACAGATATAGGTGCTCCCTAGCTAACAGCTAATGCTGGAGTTCAGACAGGTATGTTCCTAGGTCTGTCAATGTTATTCAGATGAGTTTTGCAATGGTCATTGTATTTTGTATAGTAGATCTGATTACGATAGTCAGCCATCAGTGGGGCATTATTACAGAGATTGTTACTTTCTGAAAACAATTTGTCCTTGGAGTTCCGTGGCAGGACATTGTATATTCAGCAGGATGAATTGTGTGACTGTTCATTTGTTTTCTCTTTCAGAGGCGCTATATCTGGGGCTTGCATGAACCCTGCCAGAGCTTTTGGGCCAGCGCTGGTAGCAAACTACTGGGACTATCACTGGGTTTACTGGGTAGGGCCCATGGTAGCCAGCCTGCTAGCTGGTGCATTGATAAGGTAGGTGAGGGGACACTGTCTATAGTGGAGATGAAATGTGTAAGAAGAGGGAAAGCTGTGTGTACCCTGTCATGCAGAGGTCCTGGGTCTAATCTCCACATTGCCATGTACTGCTTGTGTCCGTCTGTAAAATAGGCCATTGATATTCACTAAGTGGCGAGTCCAGTCCCCCCTCTCAGGCCCAGATGGGAGGCTTTAGCACAGAGGGGCTCCCAGGGAGTCGGAGCAGGAGCAGTCTTCAATCACTGGCTGTGGTGTGATCGGAACTGCTCCTCAGGCTAGCCTGGCCAGTTGGTTGCTTCCCCAACCCCCAGCTATGGGGGAATGACTGGCAAATCCACATGGTAGTGGATCCAGAGGCCCTTCCCAATGCCCTCTGTCTCCCAACATCCTGCCCCTCGGAGGTGAGTTCTGTAGCACGCGCTGTGTGAGCTCCTGCAACCCTCCCCACTCATCTTCTGATGCCGCACTAGAAATAAGGATTCCAGAGTCGTTGGTGAGAGTGTTTTTCTGGGCCTTGATTGGCGGAAATCCCTCCCCTGGGTGATGCAAAGTTGGCCAGAGGGAATCTGCTCCCACGAATCAGAAGGCCAGAGGCACAGGAACAAAGTTCCCTGATCAAAAAGAATCAGCAGTAAAAGCTTCAGCCAGATCCTAACCAGCTGCGGAAGCGCTGCGGACTCTTCCAGCCCCGTGCTTTGGAGTTTCCCCCTCTCTCTGAATGATGGCAGTCCCTTAGCTGTTTAATGTGCATGCCCAGCTGGAAAACAGGGGACGTCTAGAATCCTCTGCATGTTCCTAGAGTCCCTGTGAAGGAAGAAAAATTGTAGAGGTATAAATCATCCCTGAATACAGCATGTTATCCGGCTCTTTCTGGAGCCATCACTCTTCCCTTACCAACCTCCCACCCATCTGTCTATCTTTCCCTCCCGCGGGGTAGTGCCGACTTGGAGTGGGACGTGGGGTTGTGTTTTCTTTGCCTGTACACAGCCCTGCACTCCTGTAGTGGGGATGGTACATACGCAGGGCCGGCTCTAGGCACCAGCAAAACAAGCTGGTGCTTGGGGTGGCACATTTTTAGGGGCAGCATGGCCAGCGCCAGAATGCCACCCCTAAAAATGTGCCCCGGCCGCCCGAGCTCACCTCCGCTGCCGCTGCCACGGCGCGCGAAACAGCTGATTCGCGCGCCGCTACTCGCCCTCCCTCCCAGGCTCTCAAGCCTGGGAGGGAGAGCGCGCC